CTCTGGGCTAAGTAGAATGAGCTCCCAGGTGACAACAGGTAAATGTTCCTGGCTTCCATTCTCTTTCACCTTCTCTCTCATGCAGGGTCAACTGGGTTTTGAACTCACCTTGATAAGATCCGGGAGAGGAAGGTCATTATGGGGATGTCTGAATTCCTCCCTGAATGGCTGATGATGGAGATTGAAGTTCTGTTCACAGGCAAGACAGCAGGAAGGTTTGCAGCCTCAGTCCCCAGCCAGAGTTGGGGCTACGAACAAACAAATAACGGTGAGAAATAAACATAACCATACTTCTCCCAGGCTAAGTTTACACATGATGGGAGACTGGAGATAAAGGGATATTTATAATTCCCCATACCTGCTCTGCAGGCACATTTCTCTCTTGTTTCTCCAGCCTCCAAGCACATGAATATGATAGATCTTTTAGCAAGGAGAGGATTAGGGGAGCAAATGGAACAAGGTTGCTAATTGGCTGACTTTAGGATAGAAGATGAGCCAGGCTCATCCAGATGGGACTAAAGTAACCATAATGGTTCTTTCATGTTGAAGAGAGAAACAAAAGAATAGGACTCAGAGAGACTTTGAAAATGCTACACAGCTGGCTTAAGATGGAAGAAGGAACATGAGCCAAGTTATGCAGGCAGCCAGCAACACTGAAAGGCATTAGAAAGAAACACATCCTTCCCTGAGCCTCTAGCACTGCACACCTCTTGTCTCTTGTCTCTGGGATAGGCTGCTTAGACACAGTGACTCAGGTAAAAGTTTTCAGGTTCCATCCTCGCTGACCCTTTCCTGATGTACCTGCTGGCCTCCCAGGCTCACCTGGATGGGTCTCTGAGAAGAAGGTCTCCCTGTGGAAGTCTGAATTGCTCCCTGGATGGTCGATGATGAGACTGAAGCTTTGTCCCAACATGAGACAGAGGAAGGAGCGAAGCATCAGTTCCTGAGCCAGCTTAGGAATGAAAAGCAGAAACCATGTCCTGTCCCCCAGTGTTGTACAAACAGGACTGCACAGGGGAGATATTTACAGCTCTCTCTATACCTGCTCATCAGGCACATTTCCCTTGTGTTATTCCAACTTCTAAGCACATGATTTCCCTCTGGGCCTCTAGAATAAACAGAAAGGAAGATTTTCCTAATGATTCTCTGATCCCAGGAGACCAGGTTGTAAGTCAAGTGTACTTAGTTTTTATGACTTCCTGTCTTCATGTCGCCTGCTCTGAAGGGCCGAAAGACCTATTACTCTACCCCACCCTGACTTCCCTTTTTCTTCAAAGTCGCTGGTTGGGTGGGACACAGCCCTGATGTCTCTAGAGAATGGCTATTCTCCTCTTCAATATGGCAGAACTGCACTTTTTTGATATGCAATCTTCGGTACCACACACTTTGGTTCCTGACACATTTGTCAAAATAATTAGGGAGTTTACACTTAAATCACCAGTTAAAAGGTATCATTTAGAGCCTCACAAAATATTGATTAATATTCCTCTCCAGTGTGCCTGTGGTGGTTGAGCATTGTCCCATGCACCTACAGGTTGTTGGCATGCCCATTTTGCACGCTTGATCCCTAGTAGGTGTTATGCAGGAGGCAGCCCATCAATGCTTCTCTCTCATGATGTTTCTGTCTCTCTAAAAATTCAATAAAAACATTTTAAAGTATTAAGTATAAGAGGTATATTTAGATATTTTTTATGTCACATGACCTGAGCTTATCATTTTGTAGAAATTATCTGATTTAATCTTTAGGACAGCCCATTCTATTGGGTAATATTTTTTTTTGAAATGCAAGTGTACTTAGTTTTTATGACTTCCTGTCTTCATGTCGCCTGCTCTGAAGGGCCGAAAGACCTATTACTCTACCCCACCCTGACTTCCCTTTTTCTTCAAAGTCTGATTGGGGGTGGGACACAGCCCTGATGTCTCTAGAGAATGGCTATTCTCCTCTTCAATATGGCAGAACTGCACTTCTTTGATATGCAATCTTCGGTACCACACACTTTGGTTCCTGACACATTTGTCAAAATAATTAGGGAGTTTACACTTAAATCACCAGTTAAAAGGTATCATTTAGAGCCTCACAAAATATTGATTAATATTCCTCTCCAGTGTGCCTGTGGTGGTTGAGCATTGTCCCATGCACCTACAGGTTGTTGGCATGCCCATTTCGCACGCTTGATTCCTATTAGGTGTTGTGCAGGAGGCAGCCCATCAATGCTTCTCTCTCATGATGTTTCTGTCTCTCTAAAAATTCAATAAAAACATTTTAAAGTATTAAGTATAAGAGGTACATTTAGATATTTTTTATGTCACATGACCTGAGCGTATTATTTTGTAGAAATTGTCTGATTTAATCTTTAGGACAGTCCATTCTATTGGGTAATATTTTTTTTTGAAATGACCATGCAATTTTATTCCCATTCATTCTATTAATGTCAGGCATTACATTGGTTGATTTCTACCTTTTTAAACATATCTTTATTGTTGAAAGTATTACATATGTTCCCTTTTTTCCTCATTGACCTCTCCCAACCCTCCTGGGTCCCACCTCCCCACAGGCCTTCACCAGCCTATTGTCTGTGTCCATCCATTATGCATATATGCATATGACTTCACTAGTTGATCTCTTCCCACCTCACCCTCCCCTGCCTTTCCTCTGAGGTTTGACAGTCTATTCGATGCTTCTATGACTCTGAGTCTACTTTTGTTCATCAGTTTATGTTGTTCATTATATTCCACAAATGAGTGAAATCTTTTGATATTTATCTTTCTCTGACTGGCTTATTACACTTAGCATAATGCTCTCCAGATCCATCCTTGCTGTTGCAAATGGTAAGAGTTCTTTCTTTTTTACAACTGTGTAGTATTCCATTATATAGATGCATCACAGTTGTTGCTCTGTTTATTGTCTAAAGTTTTACATATGTCTCCTTTGTACTTGATTGACCCCTTCTCCCCCCCTGGCATTTCCACACCGGAGGGCAAGCCCCCACTGCCCTTGTGTCTGAGTCCATTGGTTATGCTAATATGCATCCATACAGGTCCTTTGGTTAAAGTAAACTGTATAAAAAAAGTAAACTGGTAAAAATCCTTAAATCATGCTGGTCCTTTCAATTCCTGTTCCATCTTGGTTAGCTGGGGTTCTGTGCTGTCATTTCCTAAGTCTGTCATGCCCTGCATGAACTCTTGTTTGGAGAACCTGCACTGTGTTGCTGCTCTGAACTTCCATGCAATGATCATCACAGAACTGCTGTATGCCAGCTATTCCAATTTTATTTTTACCTTCAGGATCATGGTATCTAGTGCATAGATGTTCTAACTTCTTCCTGTCCAATGATCCTTTTACACTATCTCATATATATGGTTCAGGATTTGGGGAAAAAATTGGTCTGTTAGAATATCTAACTTCCAGTCATTTTGAGATGGGTAACTTACTGCTGGTTTTTCACTAGGTTGTGTGAAGATCATAAAGTAAGCATGGGTATCCTTCTGCAGCAATTTAACCTTGATCATGTTGTGTCCTCCAGGCCTCTTTCCTCCTCCTCCAGCTCCAGGGTGAGTGGAGGTTAGGTGGCTCCTCTCCGGGGCTGGTGGGCTTCAGTTCATGCACAGTGGGGCAGTCCTTGGCACAGCAGAGGAAGCAGCCCTGGGCCTGGGAGAGACAGAGGGTTGGGGGCAGATGTCAGGAGCCCCTCATGACTTTTCTCCTGGGGCCGTGGTCCTCTCAGGCACGTTTGATTCATCCTTTGATTATACAGATTGAAGATATTCCTAAGTGTAAAGATATTCCTGAGTATATATATGATATTTAGATTGTTCTCTCACTGTCCCTTTGGTGGATTTGAAAAAAATTTAGAAAAGGGGAGATATTTAATTTAGAGCACTTAGAAGGAGTCACATTTGTATGAAACACATTGAAAAATTTCAAACAGAAACAGGAAAATATTTCAGAAAAACACACGTAAAACAATTCGCATAATTCTTCACCCAGATGAATAAGGATACTTATACATAGACATCATATTCCACACTTTATTTTTTTACGATTATTTTATTATTGATTTTTTTTGGGAGAGGAAGGGAGACATAGATACAGCAGTAGACATAGGTAAGTAAATGATAGATAAGAGATAGATAGATAGATAGATAGATAGATAGATAGATACAGAAGCATTGATGTGTGAGAGAGAAACATTGATTGACTGCCTCCTGAATGCACCCCACCTGGGATGGAAACCACAACCTAGGTATATGCTCTGAGCTGGAATCAAACACACAACATTTTTTGGTATACAGGAAGATGCTCCAACCAACTGAGCCATTGGCCATGTCAATTTTCCACACTTTAGTCACGTGTAGCATGAAAAATATTTTTCAAGAGTAAAAAATTGTATGGCTGTTTTTTGCTTTATCATATTTAAGGTCATCTCTGACTCTAACCTTATTAGATCACTCTATTTATTAAAATGTATGTATCCATGAAGATGCTTCTTGGAAACATGTATTGGGTAGTCAATTTTTGCCACCTGCTAAGATAGGCATATGGACACACAGTTGAATAACAGAATGAAGTCTATAAAACCAGGAGAACAGCTATAAAACATACTAGCATGTTAAAGTCTACATTATCAAGAAGAGTTGTGCAGTTAGTGCTATAAAAAATAATGATGAACATGTAAGTGAAAACTGTGGTCTCAGATTTTCTTCTACAATAAAATTATGTAAATGACTAGTAGCCGAGTATTGTTTTGTCCCTAGGGGTAGTACAATTCATGACTCTTCTTTCAGGAAAACAATATAAAAATTACTTGGAATGATATATGTCATAAGAGAAGAAATTATGATAAAGTAATTCATGTTAACCCATGAAATAAATAAATATTTCCAATTTGTTATGGTCCAAAGATTGGATTAATTTGTGTCAGACTTCTCTCTCTGAGGCTAGAAACCTGCATTCCTGGGCAATTCTTCAGCCTAGTACAGTTGGCCCTTGAAAAGCTTACCTGCCAAGGAATCTTTGCAAGGCCCTCTTTATGTCATTGTTCCTCAGACTGTAGATGAAGGGATTCAGCATGGGTGTGACCACAGTGTACATGACCGAGGCTGTTGCACTTGAGTGTGCATTTTGGGTAGCAGTAAAGCTGAGGTGTACTCCAAGGCTAGTACCGTAAAATAAGGAGACAACTGAGAGGTGAGAAGCACAGGTAGAAAAGGCTTTATACTTCCCCTGAGCTGATGGGATTCCACATATGGAAGAAAGTATCTTAGAGTAAGAGTAAAGGATCCCAGCAAAGGGACCACCACCTAGAAGCCCAGCTGAAAAGTACATTATAATTTTGTTAAGAAAGGTTTCAGAACAGGCAAGTTGGACCACCTGACTGAGTTCACAGAAAAAGTGGGAGATTTCCAAGTCTGAGCAGAAGCGCAGACCCAACACCATTAAGCTATTTAGCAAGGAATTCAGGACACTCATGATCCAGGACAGCAGAACCAGCAGTCCACAGAGCCGGGGGTTCATGATGACCATGTAGTGAAGTGGGTGGCAGATGGCCACAAACCGGTCATAGGCCATCACAGTCAGGATCATGTTATCCAATCCCCCAAATAATAGGAAAAAATACATCTGTGTGATGCAGCCTTCATAGGTGATGACTTTGCAGAGGAAAAGCCCAAATATGAGGGGCTGCAGTTCCAGTGCCTGTGAAAGTCCCAGAAGAAGAAATTCTGAAATTTGTGTACCATTGCCTGCTTCCATGTGCTGGAGGTGACTACAAAAAAAAGTATAATTAATTTTCACATTAGTATGCATTACTGAGAATAAATGACACATTTATATTTTAGAGTCAGGAAAATAATCTCCATTTTTGTTGTTTGATGTGTTCCCCATTAATGTATCTCTATTGGCATTCCTCATTAGAATTTCCTTTTCTAACATCAACCTGTTCTTCAAACGTAATGTATACTGCTGTTTTACTGAGGATATCTTTCATGTATTTGAGAAATATTTATTGACTATAGACCATGTTCTAGGCACTCTTCAGAGTATAGGACTCTGAAAAACAAAAGTTTACAAACTAATGATGGAGCAATAATATAATCAAATAAAATGATAATATAATATATCTGATGGTGGAGATGCTATAAAGTAAAGTAAATGACATTTATGAAGAGAGTGGATAGAGGGTGTTCTTTTTTTATAGAGTTTAGCCAAGACTTGCCAACGCTGACACTTTAACACACACCTCAATGAGGACTGAGGAGAGACTAAGTGGGAGAGCGTTTCCCAGGGAGAAGGAACAGCCAGTACAAAGGCCTGAAGAAGATGGTTGTTTTAGAAAATGAAGGCTCGGGAGTTTGAAGATAGCAGCATGTGGGAGGATTATTCTTGCAGCTTCTCCCAGAACCAAACTTGCAATAAAACTAAATTAGGGAATATTCACCCTGAATTACCAACTGAAGACTAGCTGAAGATGAAACTATTAAAGAAGGAAGGGCAGAAACCACCTCAAGAGTGATAGGAAGATTGTGGTTTTGTGAGAGGATGTCACCACTCCCACAGGGCAGGCCAAGTTGAGGAGGGATATCTCAGCTGTGGGGGTTTCCCCCTGAGAGTAGTGAGGCCTGTATACCAGGCTGGGCTCTCAAGCTTCCCGGGCCAGAGTCAGGAACACCTACCCACAGAGCTTCCATCAGTGAAAAGCAGCAGGGCTTCTACAAGCAAGGGGCAATAAAGCCTGCTGGAGATAAAGCCATTTTGTTTTTATTTACTTATATATTTTTATTTTTAAAATATTTATTATTGAAAGCATTAGATATGCTCCCTTGTTTCCTCCATTGACCTCTTCCAGCCCGCTCCTTGTCCTCCAGTCCAGACCTTCATCACCTTATTCTCTGTGTCCATGGATTATGCATATCTACACTAATAAAAGAGAAACATGCAAATTGGTTGTCACTCCATTATGCCCACCAACCAATTAGGAGTGAGTATGCAAGTTAACCGAACAAAGATGGTGGGTTAATTTGCATATGCAGGCATGGAGCGAAGACTGAAGACTGAAGACTGAAAATGACTGAAGACTGAAGAGGCTTGACTTCTCCGCTGTGGCCAGTACAAAGGCCTCCAGGCTTGGCTTCTCTGCTGCGGCCAGAGCAAAAGCCTGGATCTTGGGTGCTGGAGGAAAACTGGTGCTGACTGCCAGGGGAAGGAAGGCCTATTGCATGAATCTCTTCATGCAATGGGCCACTAGTATGCATATAAGTGCTTTGGTCTCTTCCCACTCACTCACCCTCCCCTACCTTCCCTCTGCGGTTCAAAAGTCTGTTCCATTCTTCTATGTCTCTGGATCAGTTTTGTCAGTTTATTTTGTTCATTAGATTCCACATGTGAGTGATGTCATGTGATACTAGTCTTTCTCTCACTGGCTTATTTCACTTAGCATAGTACTTTCCATATCCATCCACATGATTCCCAATGGTGAGTTCCTTTTTATAGCTGCATAGTATTCTATTGTGTAAATGTAGCACAGTTGTTTTTATTCACTCATGTACTGATAGGCACTTGGGCTGTTTCTGAATCTTAGCTATTACAAATTGCACTGCTGTGTACATAGGGGTGCATATATTCTTTCTGATTGGTATTTCTGATTTCTTAGGATATATTCTCAGGAGTGGGATCACTGGGTCAAATGGGAGCTGCATTTTTAATTTTTTGAGGATATTCCACACTATTTTCCACAGAGGAAGCCATGCTGTTTTTTTAAAGAGCCAGATCACAGAATTTTAGTTCACAGACACTCACCCTGGCTTCAGTGGAGGAGGGTGGTGCAGACTGGAGTTTCCTGAGAACTATCTGGGGTTAGAAGCATTGGGGAGAGACATGGTGAGTAGCTTCCAGGATACCTGTGCTCAGTCATCCTCCCCAATTCTGTAACAGCCATTTTTTCCTGAGAGGTTCAAGCCCCTCCCCTTAGCTGCAGAAGCCCAACCTACAGGTCTAGTCAGACTCAGGAAGCATCAGTGACTGGCTTTGGGGAGAGGCCATTCTCCAGACTTTCCTGGGAACCTGACTGGCACCTCTCCCTCATTGGAGAGCTGATAGAAATTACTGACTTCCAGCAGACCCCACTGGCTTGCCTATGAGTGGATTTGCCCTGCAAGGTTAGGGAAATACAGTCTAACCTGGGTTCTCAAATGTGTCCCAACTTGAACAATTCAGTTCTTGACCAAGTTGTTCAGAGAAACCATGTCTTGATTGTCAAACAAATTTTGTGCATGATCAAAAGCGTCTTGCAAGACACAAAGGAAAGAATGAGA